TAAAAAAATAAAGTTTCAATTTAGTATTGTTGAAAACTCATCACATTCAACATTTAATCACTCACTCACTTAGATAGAGATGGGTTTTAAGGAAAATTATCATATAACTATAATCTGGTAAAAGCTGGGATCTCTGGGTATTTACAATGTCCCCTGCAACAGAAAAAAACCCTCTCATTTGGGACTGAGGTTTCTGGGACAGAGATATGACTTGGCCCAGGTTGACAGCTGTGGGTAACGTTGTGCATTGTCTTTCCCCCACTTGAGAAGACAAGCCATGAGTGAGATAGAGGTCTCTTTGCGGTACAAGTCAATGTCTGCATCAATCTGAACAGTGTGCTGTGTTTCTGCAGTCCCCATGACTGTTATTAGTCGTATTCCCCAACTTGCAGGCACGTGCACACATAGGGCTCAACCTGTGCAGTGCACATGCCCTTTTTAGTCTTGGATAGAAAATGCCCTTCCAAAACGATCAAAAGTGCCCCCGCGACGCGACACACCCTCCGCCCCGCCCTTCAGTAGGTGCGCGACAACACCGCTCTTGAGTATGCACGCTCAACCCCCCCTCGGCGCTTTACAATACGCGCGCAACTACACAGCTGATCAAAACGCGCGCGACAACACTGCTATTCGGTACGTGCGCGGCGACAACACCCGCTTTAGGTTCGATCATTTCCATCTTTTTTCATCTCCGCTACTAGCAGCACACTCCATTTCCGCATTACTGGATCTGTAGCGACAACAGACCGCAAAGGATTATGGCCACGCCTGGGCTGATGGGAAATGTAGTTTCAGCTACCTCCCGTTCGCTTCATTCGCCTGAGCAAATTTTCTCAGAAGACCTATAGTTTTACCGAGTCATGCGACTTCGGTAATATCGAAAAAAATTTATATTGCGGTATGACGGTATTTACAATACCGATACATCCCTAATATATATATATATATATATATATATATATGTATATATGTATATATATATATATATATATATATATATATATATATATTTGCTTTTTCCTAACACTGATAGATGATCAGTTGGGTAATTGGAAATACGTGAAGCGTGATGACTCGGTTATGCTGATTTCACTATATTTGTGTGCAAGTCCAAGTTTCAATTCACCTTTCAATTCAACATTATTTGAATAGCGCTTTTACAATGTAAATTGTGTCAAATCAGCTTCACATAGAAGATCATAGTGAATGTAAACAGTGTAGTTCAGTATTCAGAGTTTAAGTTCAGTTCAGTTTAGCTCAGTTCAGTGTGGTTTAATAATCACTACTGAGAGTCCAAACAATAAAGAGCAAATCCATCGATGCACAGCTCTAAAGATCCCGAACCATGCAAGCTAAAGGCGACAGCGGCGAGGAAAAAAAACTTCACCAATTGGCGAAAGTGAAGGAAAAAAAACCTGGAGAGAAACCAGACTCAGTTGAGCACGACCATTTCTCCACTGGCCAAACGTCTTGTGCAGAGCTGCAGTCTAGGCGCTGGAGAAGCTGGACATCAGCGAAGACTCGTCTCTCCATAAAGCGTCACAGGAATCCGTCTCATGCTCTCCTCTCCTCCATTTTCCTTCAATAGACAATAGTGCAGGCGACATGTAATATAAACATCTGAGATCTCCATAATTTGGCTAATATTTACTCAGGATAAACACAGAAAGAGTGCATATTGAAATGATTATAATCCTGCTTTATTTTCTGTGAGACTAACAGTAGTTTTGAATATTAGTTTAGTTTCTGTTTCCGTTGTGCTTTTACATGTTGGTCATTTCAGTTTTTAGTGTTTTTTTTTCTACCTTTTTGTAGTTTTGATTGTTCACTGCAGTTTCAGTTATTTCAGTATATATTTAAACTGAATGAGGAGGAGAGATACAGGCTTTACAGCACGCTGAAGAATAATAACATTAATTAATAACAATAATGACATTAATAACGCATGTATGTGTGTGTCTTTCTCTTTGTTTATGTATGTGTGTGTGTGTGTGTGTGTGTGTGTACGTGTTTTTGTGACATATCAGGACACAAATCTGTATAATGACATGGGTATGACACAGGTATTACAAAAAGGAGGTGAAATATGAGGACATTGGTGACGTCCTCATTCCTCAAAAAGCTTATACATCCTACAGAATGAGTTTAATCAGAGAGTAAAGCTGCACAGTCTCTTGTGATGGTTGGGTTTAGGGGTGGGGTGGGGTGAGGGCAATATAATATACGTTTGGACAGTATAAAATGAATGGAAACCTATGTAATGTCCCCACTTTTCACAAAAACAAGCATGTGTGTGTGTGTGTCAGTAAACAGCAGCAGATCTGTTGAACTGCTGAACTGAACTCTGATCTTCTGCATCGTCAGGATCTCTCTCTCACACACACACACACACACACACACACACACACACTCGCTGTCAGTCGTCCTGATGGAGAAGCTGTCGGTGTGTGTGTGTGATGATCCTCAGAGCAGGACTGACGCTTTCAGACCCCTGTGTTCGGTTCCTCCACATCAGCAGAACATGGAGAGTGAAGTATTACTGCGGTAAGACCAGCACACACACACAACCACATGCACACTCATATACACTAACACAGCCACACACACACACACTCATGCACATGAGGGCTGTTCCTTTTCTGGACGAATTTTGTAAATTGTCGGTTGGGCTTAGGGGTAGTGGGTGGGTCAGTCTGTAAAATTAGTTGGGTTTAGGGAAGGAGGAGGGTGGGTGAGTCGATTAGCCGGCCGCCCAGTCAATCAGTCATTCAGTCGGTCGTCAGCGGCCTCTGGTGGGTTTACGCAAGAGCACCTGCGAGAGACATTCAAGATACGAAAAAGCGCACAAAGCAGCCTCTCGCGGATTCGTGAAAAACAACCCCTGCAAAAATAGATACCTCCCTGGATGTATTTTGTGGTCTCCAGAAACATCCACGGGACTACGTTTTCAAAATGAGCCTGGGTTGGGACTCGAACCATGCAAGCCAGTGGTGACAGTGGCGAGGAAACAACTTCACCAATTGGCAAAAGTAAAGGATAAAAAAACCTGGAGAGAAACCAGACTCAGTTGAGCACGACCATTTCTCCTCTGGCCAAACGTCTTGTGCAGAGCTGCAGTCTAGGCGCTGGAGAAGCTGGACATCAGCGAAGACTTGTCTGTCCCTGGAGCATCACTGGAATCAGTCTCATGCTCTCCACTCCTGCATGACCACCACAGCAGAAGCTCAGGATACGGCCTGGTCCAGGATTATGGAAACCTTGGGATCATCTCGTCGCTGGTCTTGGATCGAATCAGTGGGAATGCATAATCTCTGAGGGACTCGAGATGAGTATCTCCAGATGGAAATAGAGAATAAAGAGAATAATTAGCGTAGCTGCTGTTCGTTGTGTATATAAACGAGATGCGTGGGTGACACTCATGTATCATACCGCTGTGTGCTGCATTTACCAAAAAGATTTTAAAGTCTTTAAATCTTTAGATCTTTAGTCTTTAATCTAGTGTTGAACTGAGAGAGTGTGTCTGAGCCAATGACTGTAAAAAATATGGACGACGCGACAGCCCTTTTTCCCATTGAACGCCTTGAGGGCAAAACGCCTGCTTGACGGGCACAAACTGTCGCAAAAGACTGCTGAAATTGGAGCCAGACATGCGCAGAAGGACTGTCTGATGGAGCCAGAGGAGGAGCCGCGAAAATGAGCGGAGTCGAGCTTCCAATCAAACGCTTTATGTAAAATCAACCACGCCCCCCGAACTTCTCAGCATGCGTTTGCTGTCATATCAACACAAATGGATGTAATAACGTTAACAAATATGAGGGTTTTATATATTCAATCGCGCCAGCTCCAGGCCGCAGCGCATAACTTACTCGCGGCGTCGCAGGCTGATTCCGGCTCGCATGCGGCAGCGCCGGCTCGCTCGGCCGCCGCATCTGGCTCGATTGACTCGGACTGGAATCGGGCAGTGAGTCCAGGCATCCGGAGTAGGTCCAGCAGAGGTAACATTAGTCAGTCTGAGCTCTAAGAGATAAGTCTCCGGCAGGCGAGAATCTAGCCGGAACTGTGTTTTGCTAACTGGGTGGCTAGGCGTGTATCAGCAAACTAATAAAGCCCGAAAAAAGCCCTGAACTTAGCGAATAAACAGTGTTCCACCAGGATCATGTATGTCAGAAACTATAGTTTACTGCTGAACTCATTTTGTCATGGTAAAATAACACAGAAATCGAATAATAACACTTCAGTCTCCTGCTGAAGCTCAGATGCGCTGCTTTGAGAAACTGTCAATCACAGCTGTCAATCACGATGACACGCCCAGCGTTAAATTACTGCT